GGCATATAAAAAATATATGACACAAAATATAAAGTTTTTAGTGGTATTTAATTTTTTATGTCATTAATAAACTTTAGTATTAGTGACATAAATTGTTAAGTGCCATTAAATCTATTAATTTTATAGTGACATATAAAATATGCCACTAAAAACATATTATAGTAGCATAAAAAAAAGATGTCATTAAAGATGTGTGCAACTAAATGTCATTTTATTTGTAGTGAGAGAAATTTCCTAATCTTAATGCGATGGTGCTTATGATATTATGGTCGGATCATTGTCCTATCAAGTTGAAGGAGGAATAGAGGAAATGATTAATTATGGTCCAGGACCTTTTAAAATGGTTAATTTTTGGATGTTGCAAGATGGTTTTGATCAAATTGTGAGGGAGGCTTGGTCACACCGTGAATTTGATGGTGAGGAAAACAAATTTTTGGTTTTTAAAAATAAACTTAAGCATTTGAAGAATAAGCTTAGAAGTTGGAATAAGTCAAACAAAGAGCAAAGAAAGAAAGAAAGAAAGGACTAGCTGTGCAAATTGGAAGATATTGATATGGGATTAGATAATGGAGTTGGAGATTCCAATGTTCATATTGAAAGGCTTTCCATAGTAAAAAAAAATTAAAAAAAAAAAAAAGTTGCCGATTTCGATAACATTTTAGCCTTGGAATTAGCCCAAAAATCTAAGATTAAGTGGATAGTGGAAAGAGATGAGAATACTAGTTTTTTTTTATACTTCGCTAAAAAAAAGTCCAATAGCCGTAAAAAGTGTCATGGTAGATGGAGACCGGATCACAAATGCTATAGAGGTTAAAACCGCATTTTTTGAGTATTACAAAAATAAATTTAAGCATTTTTCAACTATTAAGATATAAATCCTAGCCCTGTTTTGAAGTCGCTACAAACAGCTGCAAGTTCAAATGGTGAGTTTTTTTAGGCTGAAGTGGGGGAAGTTGTGTGGCCGTGTGTTAGTGACTGGGCATCGGGGCCGAATGGTTTCTCGTTCCTATTCATAAAAAAATATTGGGAGCTTCTGGAAAGGTGATGTTTGTGCTTTTGTCAATCAGTTCTTTGATAACAAAAATATTCCAGTTGGTTGAAACACTTTCTTTATTACGTTGATTTTGAGAAAAGAAAATCATATTTTTGTGAAGGATTATAGACCGATTAGTTTGATAGGAGTGCAATACAAAGTTGTTGCTAAACTTCTTGCTAATCGTCTGATGAGAGTGATTGATGATCTTATTAGTCCAGAGCAATCTGTTTTTATTAAAGGTAGATATATTTTAGATGGGCTTCTTATGGTAAGTAAATCATAGAACTGTACAAGAACAAGAGGAAATTGATGGTGTTTAAAGTAGATTTTAAGAAGGCTTGTGATTCAATCAGTTGGGATCACCTTTTCACTATTATGGAGTTCATGAGGTGTGGATGTAGGTGGATTGATTGGATCAAGGCTTTTTTATTCTCGTCTCAATCGTCAATTCTCGTCAATGGTAGTCTTTTGAAGGATTTTCATTTGCATCTAGACCTTAGACAAGGTGATCATTTATCTTTGCTCTTTTTTCATGATGGTGATGGAAGATTTACATGTCACCATGGAAGATGCAATGATTCATGGGTTGTTTCATGGAGCTTGTATCGGAAGTGATGATCTATGGATTTCTCATTTATTTTATGTTCACGATGACCTTTTCATGGGAGAATGGAACGAAGAAAATGTGGCAAACCTTGTAACCGTGTTGAATTGTTTTTATTGTGTTTCGGGTCTTAAAATCAATTTACAAAAGTCCAACTTGTTCGAGATTGGTGTCCATTTTTCAGTGGTGGACGATATTGCAATTCTTACGGGGTGTAGAGATGGTAATTGAGACGGGGAATACAGGGACCCCAATCCTCATCCCTATCTGGGAATATAAATAAACCCACATACCCCCCCCTCCCCCCCCCCCCCCCCCAACGGACACTGGGGATCCCCAACGGGGAATCGGGGATTTTTTATTCTCTTTTAATATGAAACTTTTACTTAGAAAAAACTCTAAATTTCAATTTTATCAATATAAGTTTAAAAATTTTACAAAATATAAAAATATCAATAGATTGAATAAAAACTATAAACAAATTTCTATCAAATTTTAATATATAAATGAAAAATCAAGTAGAAAAAAAAATTAACAGAGTAATAGTTGAGGTAAAATAGATAAACCAAAGAGAAAAAAAAATGATACATGAGGTTAAATACATAAAAGAAAAAGAAAAAGTATAATTTCAACCGACTAATTACTAATGAGTTAAGTATTTGGATCAAATTTTATGTATTTTAAATTGTACTATAAATATATGTTTTGTATTATTTTTATATATTAATATATACCGGGGCCGGGTCCAGGGTCGATATTAGGGGTATCCCATCCCCACTTTTTATTCGAGGATTCCCCTTCCCCGGTCAACTTTCGGATTCTCCGGTTAAAAGGGTGCGGGTTTCGGGTTCCCATCAGGTATGGAGATTTTTGCCATCCTTAACGGGGTGTAGTGCAACTTATCTACCGTTTAAATACCATGGAGTTCTCATCGGTTCTTTGATGTCTATAGTGGATAGTTGACAAGTTGTGATAGACCGTTGCAAAAGAAGGTTGGCGAGATGGAAATTAAAGATGTTATCAATTGGTGGTCGGCTCACTTTAATCAAATCTGTGCTAGGCAGCTTGGGTATTTATATTTTTTCCTTTTTTTAAAGCTTTGGAAGCGGTTTGTAGACAACTTGAATCAATCAGGTCAGGTTTTTTTAGGGAGTGGATGATCATGAAAGAAAATGTGCATGGGTCAAGTGGAACAAAGATTTATGTTCTAATTAAACAGAAAGGTGGATTAGGGAGTGGGAGTATTTCGGCTTTTAAGTATGTTCTTTTACGAAAATGGAGGTGGAGGTTTCATGTTGACAAGAAAGCTTTATGGATTAAGGTGACCGAATCTATTCACGGTCCTTGTGGTGTGTCGGTTGTGAGGAGAAAAAACCGAAGGGGTGAGGGGTGTGGAATGCTATAGTGGCTGCCATGCAACGTCTTAATTCAAATAATATTTTTCCAGTTAATAGTTTGAGGAGAAAGGTTGGAGACATATCTTCTACTAGATTTTGGCATGACTGTTGGATGGGGGATTTGAAGTTCATGGATAGATATAATGGAGTTTATGCTTTAGAAATGCATAAAGATTGGCAGATCATAGATAGATGGATTAATGGTGTGTGGGAGTGGGCTTGGAGAAGACCTGTTAGGGGTGGAGCCGAGCATACCCAACTCACGGCTTTATAGGATTGTTTGGCAACCTTTACTTCGACCTCATCACAAGACACATGGTTGTGGGATTTAAGTCCTGATGAGTTGTTTACTGTTGCTTTTAGAAGATATTATATCGATGAGGTGTCTATGGGTGAAAGTGGGAATCAGACTCATTGGAATAGGTTTGCGCATATCAAAGTTAATGTGCTTATTTGGAGGGTGTTGCTAGGCATGATTCCTACTAGAGTGAACTTGTAGATTAGAGAGATTGACATTCCTTTTATCCTTTGTCCTGTTTGTGATAAAGAAGCTGAAGATGGTAACCACTTATTCTTAGCATGTGAGATTGTTAATCAGGTATGGCTTAAGGTTTTTAAATGGATTAATCATCCATTCCCTTTGATTCACACGACTCATGATATGCTCTATTGGGTGGATAATGTCTCTGTGGAGTCCGGAATGAGCAAAATGTTATCATGACTACTATGTGGGTGTTATGGACATATTGAAATGGGGTGGTTTTTGCGATTAACATACTTCCTAAAAGTACTATTTTTAGGAAAATTGTACTTTGTTCGTTTGATTGGATCAAGAATAGGAATAAGAAATGCAATGTAGTTTAGACTATGTGGTTGATGAACCCTATTTTGTACACTTTTTTGTAATAGTTTTTTCCTGGTTGCTTGCTAGCTTTCTAATATAATTTTCAACCATTAAAAAAACGATGATTATATGGTTTTATTTTTTTCTGTTTTCTTATAAAATATAACTTTTTATCAAAGTTGTGAAAATCGTTCGGCGGTAGCTCGGCGGTCGACTGGCCTTAAGCGATTAATCGGACTCCACGGGAATTAATCGGGGACCCTAAATTATTAATAAAATTATTTAAAAAACTAATATATCCCAAAAAAAATAAATATTTGAAAATTTTAAATTTTAAATTTTTGAAAATTTGAAAAGTTTAGTATAATATCTAAAAATTTGAAAATTAAAAATTTTGATGTATAATTTGAAAATTAAAAAATTTGAATTTTTTAAATATTTCCCGCCTATGACCGCCAAACCCGAGTTTGACCAATTTCCGTCAAACACCTTAATCGTAATCGGTTCAAGGCTGTCAAACGATTAATCGGCCGTCAAGGCCGATTTCTGCAACACTGGCTTTTATATAGTGAATCTGCCCATATATATTTCAAAGTAGTTTGCTATAGCCTTCCAAATAGCCGCATGATCAAAAGCTCGATTATATCAACCATTTATCATAAACAATATTTTAAGATTCAAAAGTGTTCTTATTTGTAGAAATAGAAACAAAATAAGGTCTTTATTCATGCAATAAAAATTGCACTTCACTTGGGAATTTGACTAGTGAAAAGATCCAGCATTACAACTAAGCACGCACAGGGTACAAACAAGTTTTACGTCCAGTACTGATATATATGTAAACCACTAACAAACCTTCACAACAAATCAAGCATGTCCCAAACAACTTGGTACGGAAGACGACATAATTCAACAAACATATTGTAAAAACCCAAAAAGGAATTAATGTGATGATGTTTCCCTTCCTTGCATTATACCACAAGATCCTGTCGGCATTTCATACTAATTCTTATTACAGGTAGGCTTTCTAATCAAACTATATGATGATTGATCAGTACTAGGGAAATGACACCGATAATTACAAGATCTAACCCACATATATCATATATGGTTAATAATCTAAGAACAAACGGAATTAGACCTTGTTAAGGAAGAACTAGAGTTGATGAACTCGATGCAGTCATCAATAGCTTCTGCTCTTTGAGAATCAATGGAAGCTACCGTGGGTTGTTTTGGTGTTCCAGAGGATGTAACCTTTCTGCAACTTCTCTTTCTAGCACCAATGAAACGAACAACTGCTATCATCTTATCAGCCAGATGTTTAATGCATTTTATGGGTGATAACTCTGACCTTTCGGGTAGAAATCTGCAACTCCCTGCAACCTTTGTTCCATTTCCATCATCCCTTTTACTGGAATGTGCTTCACAAAACATGCTGGCGTGTGTATGCATGTATGTATGCGTGTATTGGGGGGTAGAGTGTGCATTAGGCAGATAAACGAACTCCTGAGGTCTACATATACGAGTGATTGTATAGAATGATTACCTTCTGATGAGTTGTACTACCAATTGATAGCACATAGAATTGTTAAGGTTCAAAGATGCAATCTAATATTTTCCTAATATGTACACTGCAGGTAGTGGGAATCAATCAAAGATAAAGTCATAAAGCACATAAAGACACTTTCAGCCTTTTTCTGTTCTTTAGATTAATGAGGTACTCAGTAGATGCTTTTTTCAAAGGCAAATGACTGATGAATATCTTAGTCTCGTGATAATTGCAACATTTACTATTTTAACAAACTGGGGGCACTTGTTTATGTGAATGTGGTGGATGGCAATATGCAAATTAAAGACATGGGCCAGCCACAAGAATTAATGATATGCTAAATCATGTAAAGCAAGTGCTAACAATAAGTAGGGTAAATTAAAGAATGTAAGAAAGAAATGCAGTGGGGATAAGGAAGCATATGCATGTGTGGCAATGAGAATAGAAAGGAGGAGAATATGGAAGAGTGGGGAGGTTGATTAATGAATATAGAAAAGGCTCCCTCTCATCTGATCATGATCTAACGAGGCTTTGCAGGATGAATCTTTCGGTTAGCGCAGAGCTTTGCATATTTTTCAAACTGAGTGGGACCCAATGTTTTTAATCTTTAGGTAATCTGAACATGTTGAGGCAATATAGGAGGGAAAGTGGTTACCAGAATAAACGAAGGTATTGAAAAAATCAATGAGGATCACGATTTAAAGTAATTATAATTAATACAGGTAAAAACACATAAAAATCTATCTATCTCAAACCACACACTTTGGTACAAAGTTAGATGCATAGAGTACAAGTAGGAAGAACAAAAGAGAGGTTGGAAGGTGCGGCTTACCCAACCCGCCCTTCTACACATTTGGCTATACCAACACATGCTTGGAATGGTTAGCCGGCGGTATCGGCATGAGCCCACTACCACCATTTAGCGGCTCCGTCCACCCTAATCCTTACACAACCATGTCTATAGTTGAATAATCTAAAGTCAAGGGCAAAGTCAACTACCTTTCTTTCTTGGAGTTTAAGTCTAGGGAAGTATTTGGGATTACTTTTTGAGATTACAGGTACTTCTTGTAAAAGGATTTTTTGACGGGTGATTCTTTCCAAAAGTAATTTTTTTAAAATGTGTTTGTGTTAGTTTTTAAGGGTAAAGCCAATTTTTCAGGTTAAAAGTCATAAAAGTCACAAAAAAATAAGATTTTGTAACTTTTGAAAACCAACTTTTCTTTCTACACAAAAAGTTATTTTAAAAAATATTTTCCATTAGCCAAACATCTTTTGGCTTTTTTTTAACTTTTTAGAAAAATAAAAAATCAAAAGTTGTTTTAAAAAGAATCTCAAACATGCTCTAGATCGGAATTCAAAAAGTTACCTAGATATCTAGTTAAGTTAAACCACACATATGATATCAATTTGTAATGATCCTAAACTAATACAAAGTACACTAAAAAAAATTCATGTCAACATTTAATATACCTAATGGTGGTACTTTATACTCCTAAAATGGATAACAAGATGGATCAACAATTATAGTTATGAATTAAATACTATAGATTAACTTAACTGGGTGCTACACTCAAAAGCTACAAACGTAAAGCTTTGATCTTCTCTTCTAATTAAAGACTCTTAAACTTGCCACTTGTCATTTTTTTAAACACCTAACCTGCCACATGTCATTCTTTTGGACCCTCTACATTATGTTTTCCCGCTCATATATTCTCCTCTTCAAATAGATGTTTCAAAATCCAAAAAATCAGGAATTTATTTTCGAAATTTTCAATCATATCTGTCCCCAAATATCTCCCTAAATTTCTATTCCTTGAATCTCTCTATAGTTTAAATTCAAAATCCCTAGCTTCATCCGGTTGTAAAATCTACAAAACGTATCTTCTCGCAATCTCCATTTTGGCTGCTGCAATATTTGATGTGAACCAGAAAATCAGTTGCCTAAGGCTGACCCCTTCCCTTCACCGTAATCTTCATTTAAGGTACGCTTCATGTTCAATGGCCCTTAGTTACCATCTACGACCCCTTCTTCATCCTTCATTATTTCTTTGAGATGAATCCGACATTGAAATTCTAAATCTGTTTAATCTTCCATTTCATAATAAGCCATTGTTTGTTGTTTATCTAACGAGCCTATTTTGAGTGAGCACACAATGGTTGTATCATCTAAATTGTGTTGATTTTGCCCATCATTTTCGAATATCTAATCAGATTTAGAATATGTTATATTTTGTTTGAGTACTGATTTATTCTTTGATTGTTTTCAATGGATTCTGAAATTCGATTTCTTCGATTGGATGAAAAAACAATCATACAAATAAATATATTCATTAACCGGTCCATATCGTGTAGCCCTTCAAGGATTATCTTATGCCTTTTATTGATATGACTAACAAAATTGCTTATTTTTTTTAATTAATTGATCTAACCATCTTTTCATTGTAGAATGGAACATGGGAGGATGTTAAGAAGATTGTGTCAACACTTAATGTTGGTCAAGATGCTGTAGGTAAGCCCTAAACTATATGATGTTCCGATTTCATTCTAAAGTGAAGCACTATTAATAATTCATTCCTATTTGGATTTTGATAAGATATTACGATTTCTTGGTTAATATCTCAAACTCAACTGTTTTCCATTTTCCATTTTCAGAGGTTGTGGCTAACCCTCCTTTTGTCTTTATCTCTCTGTTAAAACCGAACTGAAGCCTGAATTTCAAATCGCTTACCAAAATTGTTGGGTTAATAAAGGAGGTGCACTCACTGGTGAACTTAGGTATGTTTCTATGCATTTAATCAATTACATATCAAAAAACATTCATTAATATCTTTTTTGTATATGTAGTGCAAAGACACTTGTGAAATGGGGAATTCGTCGGGTCATCATTGATCGATCTGAAAGTAGATCTTTAATGAATGAATCAAATGTGGTCCTCTTTTTTTAATGAAATTCCATCATGTATGATGTTTTTAGTGGTTTTTCTGATGTTTATATCCCATCTACTTCATTGTAGTTCTGAGGTTGACGATGGAGTTTTTTTTATGTGCCTTACTTTTGCAGATGCACATCTTGGTTGACTATTGATTTTTAAAGATAATAGTCGCAAATATGTTTCCCCCTCCGAGTTGTATATAATTTCATTGAGTTTTGTTCCAAGTTAAAAACCATAAGTTGTGTAATGGTTGCAGGTCTTATCATGGTAACTCTGTGTAAGTCTCTGTTTATTTGTTGTAACTTCTCATTTTTATGTAGTTTTCGTCTTTTAATTTTTTTTGCTTTTATAAGAGTTTTTGATGTTTTTGGTTGATTTGATTTGATATTTTTAGTTTTAGTTTTTATTCATTATAAGGTTGGTAGATGGCATACGACACATACCACACTTTTACATTGCCACTTAATTTTTTCTCTCACCCTAGGTGACATACCACACATTACCACACCCACCACATTACACATTTTTGTGCACAAAGTACCACCTTTGAGTAATATACCCTTCGGTGAAAGCATAACGCACGACAAACTAACCACAGAGGAGCAAGGGGGTGTTTCCCGCATACGCTCTATGCGGTACAAATCACACGTATGGTCTAATGTCAAATAATGCATTGTTTAAGTATTGTTTTTGAATTATGCTACTTCTTTGGAGGTTAAGATACCCAACAACGATTCATTTTCAAGGAGGTTGCTTTACAAAGTTTACATTCAAGCAAAAGAACTTTCAGAAATTCCACGTCTATAAAATTCAAATGAAAACTCTTTTTAAGTTTTTGCTTAATTTAGTCTTTTATTTGATCGTTATTTGAATATACCAGCCATCACATAAATTTTAGTATATAACTTGGTTGTTTGTTACTTAAAAATGATTTAATAAATATAATTGTATGAGTAAATATGAATTTAAATGTTGTTTTATTTTGCATGTGTATAAAGTAAGATTTTAAATGAATAAGACCTTATACCGCTTATTTATAACATTTGAGAATTTAAAAAAAAATTAATTTAAATAATTATTTGTAACAAAAAAAATTGAACTTCATGAGAGTTAGGTTATTTTATATGTTCATTTCGATTAATAGAACTAAAAATCATTATTCTTATATATGATGTATACAAAGTAGTATTTGGAATTTACATTAATTTAAATAACGATGATATATTTATTAATAAAAAAAATAATTGTTTGCAAATTTATGATTCATGATTATAATTTTGATAGTTTTATGTTATTTTATTTGTGTCTACCGTGTTTACACGGGTTATAACCTAATTCAAATAATATATGTGCTTACTTTCAAAAAAAGACACAATACTTTGACCGCATTTTCATTAAAAAAAACTAATATTTTCATTTCCTACCGGTTGGAAACATCTAAAATGTAGGAAAAACTGAAAGTTAGGCTAGACATTTGTTTAAATTAGGTAAAAGGTGCTGTGATGTTTTTCCAATGATAAAAGTGTATCACATAGATGTCATATCATTTTTTATATTTTTTTACAATTTTTACCTATGAACTACATACGATGTGGTGATGGTTTTACCTATGAAGTTTTCTTTTTTAATTTCGATAAAAAAAAATAATAAGAACTTTTTAAATAAAAATCATACTAAAATCAAAATTAACATAAAATTAAAAAGTACATTTTAGAAATCCTAAAAAATAACATGAAATTAAAAATTACATTAAAAACCCAAAAAAGAAAAAAGCCATGAAGTCAAAAAAAAAAAAAAAACATCGAAATTTCATTTGCTTATCAGATTATATTTTTCTCGAATCGACGTCTTTACCGCTTTAGTCACCTCTTGATCTTTGGGGTCGAGATGTCTCACATCTTGCATCAACAACGAATATTCTATGAGTTGGACGATTTCAGCCATATGTTTCTCCAAAGTTGTATTCAATTGTGTCATCATTTCCTCTTATCTAGTTGACCACTCCGTTCTGACCGACAAATTTGACGATGTCGCTTTTCCTTTTCCTTTTTTTTTGAGCTTTTGCTTTGTCCCCTCCGATGGGACGAGGAGACGGGCACATTTCTTCGATGTCGTCGTTATCATCATTAAGATCAACGCCAATGTGACCATCCGATAACATTTGTTATGAGCTCGAATATGAAGATGTTCGGCTTATTTTTTGATGAATTAGCAACATCTTCATGTATTGCAAGCTCCTTCCACCTAATGCTTCTTTTGATAACTTCCCACATATGAATGAACTTAAAAGGCTTTAACATGTCAACTTGGAATGTTGCATGCATTTTTTTTCAACAAACTCGTTTTACTTTCTCCACTAGCTCATTGATTTTCAAAGTTTTTGTAAATTCTATTCCAATGTGTGACGAGTTTGTTAACAATATTCCATTTCAAGTTACATTGGTCGGATATCCGGTAATCTAAATCTCGACCCATACCCTTACAAAACCGATCCATAACATGTAACCAAAATTGATCACATGATTGGCCCTTTCCCGTTTTGTTATCTTCATATATGTCGACCCATGTCTTTGTTAATTCTATCTCTTCTTTTTTACTCCATCTTCCCGGATCGGAGTTCCCTTTTTTTGTTGAGCTTTCCCTTCGTGCTTGGCATCGAAAAAAATTTCGGTTGCGGGTGTGAAAGGCGGTTGGGATTGAAATTGGAATTGCGTTTGCGTTTGGGTTTGGGATGTTGTTTGGGGTGGTGGGGATTGGAATTGAAATTGTTGTGGGATTTGAAATTGTGAATAATACTCCACCTACAAACACTTGATTTTGAGATAAAATTGATGGATCCATTTGTGATCGGTAACGTGGTGTTGATGTCGGATCGTAACCGAAAAGTGCAAATGGGTTGGAAGCATTTTGGTTGGTAGAGTTTAGATTATTGGAAGACATTTTGATTGTGCGTATTTTCAAATGAATGGTAAATATGTTTATATATAGTGGTAAATTTGTAAAAAAATAATAAAATAAAAAAAAATAAGTAAAGAAAGAAAACAGCCACAAAGCTGTTTGCCAACGGTTCATTCCTTCCCAACATTCACTTTTTTCGAATTTTACCATCGGTGGAAACCCACCGCCGGTAAAAATAGGGGTGGGGCGTGGCGTTCACCGGCAGTAAAGCAGTCCACGTCGGACTACCGCCGGTGAAAAACCATTGACACCGTATAGCTTAATAAGAAAAAAAAAGGGGGGGGGGGGGGGGGGGGGGGGGGGGGGGGAATATGCACAAAATGTCATTATATTTTGATTCTATTGACAAAAAACTCAAACCTAGGTTTTTTTTAATTTTTTTTTTTTTTTTGCAATTTAACAATCGAAACCAATAAAAACTTTCAAAACAACTCTTGTACCCAGTTAATGTCGGTTTTAAGGGTTAAATTATATAAAAAAAATCATTAATGACTTTTTCGTTAATAAGGTTAAATTTTAAGGACTTTTCTAGAGATTTTTTTTATATATACTAAATTTATTTGAAAATATCTTATATTTATTTTATTAAAAAACATAAAATAAATATATCATTTACATCCCTTTCACTAAGGTGGTGTTTGTTTTTTCGAAGCGAAAACGTTTGAAGTCTGTGAACCACATCTACAACCCTCTACAGTAGAAGAGGTGGACCAAATGGTTGCAGTTGCGCAACACACACACACACACAACAGTTTTTAATTCAAAAGTCTTCTAAAAAACAAACAGCTGTGAAATGTCAAGTCTTGTGCGGCCCATACATAATTGGTCAGAAGTGGTTTTTCTTGAAAAACAAACAGCCCCTAAAAAACTCATATTTTTTATTAAGAAACACAATAATGATAATTTATATATCATTTTTGGCATTTTTTGTGACAATCTTTAATAAATATCACTAGTACAATCATATAGATATCATCTAAATACAATTCCTAAATAGAGTTTCATGATATATGTGGTCTAGAAACGCACTCCGTGCGACAAATGTGTGGTGATATCCTAAGTCTAAATTTGTGTCTGTTAATGTCTCACTTTTAGGTAATTTTTTTCATTTTGGATTTTTTTTATCGTGTTGTAAAGAGAAAGAACAGTACGTGAACACGGTGATGATGGGTGGGTCAGAGATGAAGAATATAGAAGGTGGGTCGGAGATGGTGCTAATGGGGGCTACTGGTTTTTTGTAGTGAAGATGGTGTTGTTGGTGGAAAAAGGTTGGTAGTGGTGGTGATGTATAAATATGAGGGTTGTTATAGCAATGATGAGCGGCTAAGAGGGTGCAAGACCTGATAAAATTTTATAATGAAATTTTTTTAGAAATATGAAGCATTAATGAACATAAAAATAGACTTTTGTTGATTTATGGTAAGAAATGCGTTTCTAGACCACATAGTGTGTATAATAAAGCTTTATTTATGAATAACATCATCTGATAAACTTTTATTTTCTAAGGTGTCGTTCGATTGTAAATGGATCTTCGGTAAGTTGTAGTTTTATGGTAAAAGTTTTACATCCAATACTTAAAAATTCAATAATGGAGTAGAATTTGGCATAGAAATACACTTCTTACAACAAATCAACAAAGTTTTACTTAAGTTATATACGATATAGACAATATCAATATTGTGTTTTTTTAATAAAAGTATATATATTTATTTTGAGTTTTTTAATAAATAAATATAAGCTTTCTTCAAATAAATTTACTATATATAAAACAAATTCTCTAGAAAAATCCTTAAACTTTAACCTCATTAACGAAAAAGTCATTCATGATTTTTTTTTTTTTTGTAATTTAACCCGTAAAAATGGTTCTAACCGGTTATAATGGTTGTTTTGCAAGTGTTTACTGGTTTCAATGTTTAAATTGCAAAAAACAAAATCATGGGTGATTTTTTTGTCAATAGAACCAAAATATAGAGACTTTTCTTTTTGCAGATTTCCCAAATAAAAAAAACTACAGAATTGTCGTGGGAGTATCCTTCTTTTTTGAATTAAGTCCAAAAAGTTTCATTTAAAATAAAAATTAACGTCCTTTTCGGTAACGTTCTTTGTCGTTTTGGTCTATGTTCGTATCACTAATTTATCTTTAATGATAAGTTTTTTAAACATGTTTCATTTAATTTAATATTTATTTATAATCATATAAGACATAATCCCTAAATCCCCAACACCCCTGTAACGACCCAAAAATAGTGGTAAAAAAATTTCATTTTATAAAATCATTGATTCCATATATTAGATTTCTCAAAGTCAACTGTGATACAAAACATCAAAATCATCAGAGTACAAAATATCATAAGTGTTGAAACATGAGGGGGATGGTGTGTTATCACGTCGGGCCCTTCCCTTTCATACTGGAAGTACCTGAAACCATAAACATAAATTGTAAGCACAAATCTTAGTGAGTTTCCCCAAAATTCTACATACAACATATATATATATATATATATATATATATATATATATATATATATATATATATATATATATAACAACACATGGCTGGGTCGAGTCTGTATCAACCATAAGTCCATAATGACTCCATGTAACAGCACGTGGTTATGTTGGGTGCGTATCAACCTCGAGTCCATAGTGACTCCGAGCCCATATCGGCTCCATGCATACAACATACAATCATACCAGTAATAGTTACATAGACACATATCTCCTACATATACAAATCAGTAGGCCGACATTAGTGCATTCGACACATAAGTGTGGTGAGAAGACTCACCAGTCACTGCTCTCACTGCCAGAATACTAATGCTACGTACCACCTATACAGTTATACCAGATAAGCCCTTTGTTTTTCTTCCAAAACTAGGAGTTTGACCAGAAGTCAACTCATGTCAAAAGTCAATGGCCAAAGTCAAGGGTCAACGTTGACTTTAGTCAACCGCTATGCTGTGGCTACCCATAGCCACATCGTGGCCCTCAAACAACCTGATAGTCATGATTTTCCCAGTCGCCACACTATAGCTACCTTATGTCATGTCATGGGCATTGGGTCTTCAACAACTTAATGGGTTATGCAATTTTCTTCAATCCCAAGAGCTCCAAAGCTCAGATCTGGTCTAAAACAAAGGTCTAGAAGGATAAAGTTTCGAACTTTACCTGTTAAGACCTCCCAAAAGGTCAAAATCTCAAACCATGGGTTCCAAAAACCTATGTAAGACATGATTTCATCCATTAAGCACTTATTCCAAGAAGTCTTTAGCTCATTTCCTCCAGAAGGGTTTCTAATACCAAAATCATCATAAAAGTTGGTGTTTTATAGACATGCATGTCTTGAAGTCATAATGAGTCAAAATAAGGGTTTTTCCATAGAAATCGCATGCATGGCTCAAAAACATAACTAAACACCAAATCCAAACCAACAATCATGTCAAATGTGCCAAAGATTTATAAAGTTGCAAAGTTTATGAGATCTCACCACTCCAACCAACAAG